GGCTGGGCTGGCGAGGTGCGCGCCCTGAGAGCCCGCAGGCCGAACCCAGCAGGCTCCAAACCCACGGTTCGGGTCTACACAAAACAATTTTATGGTGAAAAGGGGAAGAAAAGGCCTATGGGAGTGGAAGCAGCCGGAGCAATACATAGACATAATATGATTCTATGAAATGCATCACAGGCAGAATTTTACCTCCCTCACTACAAGAAGGACACTGAGGTGCTGGAGCATGTCCAGAGAAGGGCAGCCAGGCTGGTGAGGGAGCTGGAGAACAAGTCTTGTGAGGAGCAGCTGAGGGAGCTGGGGCTGTTTAGTCTGGAGAAGAGGAGGCTGAGGGGGGACCTTATCGTTCTCTACAACTGCCTGAAAGGAGGTTGTAGTGAGGCAGGTGTTGGTCTCTTCTGCCAAGTAACTAGCGATAGGATGAGAGGAAATGGCCTCAAGTTGCGTCAGGGGAGGTTTAGGTTGGAGATTAGGAGAAATTTCTTTACTGAAAGAGTGGTCAGACATTGAAACAGTCTGCCCAGGGAAGTGGTGGAGTCACCATCCCTGGAGGTGTCCAATAAACGTGTAGATATGGCATTTCAGGATATGGTCTAGTAGGCATGGTGGTGTTGGGTTGACAATTGGACTTGATGATCTTAGAGTTCTTTTCCAACATATGATTCTATGATTGTCTTCGAGGCAATGGAAACGGTGCCCTAACATCCTCACCTGCCAAGCCCTGGGCGGGCAGAGGTGCTGGGCGGCCTCCTAGGTTTCCCCGGTGTAGTTTGGCGGGCATTTCAGGTGCAAAGCAGAACAGCGTTAATTTGCAGTTTTGTCCCACTCCTGACCATGGCCGTTTGATGGTGCAAATATTCACTGCTTTGAGTAGTAATTAGTATTGCTATACTTGCAAGGCTTATCAGTATGCTTTGAAGCCAATGACCGCTGCATCCTTCATTTGTACTTCTTCAGAGCTCTAGTAACCAAATAAATTAATTTGGAAATGGTATGTTCCAGATGGCTGGTCATTACCGTTGAACTTACTAGGCTATACTTACATACAAAACCTCGTGAGAAACAAGCATGCATAATAACTTCTGGCAATAATTTTTGGGTTTGCACTAAGGTGCGTTTTTTTGTTTTACAGGAAAATACTCTGAAAATACCTGATTCTAACAGGCTTTTGTTTTTGCTGGACCTCCTATTGCTTATTGAAAGAAGAAAGAAATGACAGATGGTGAGCCACAGTAAGCAGTGCAAATTATCTATACTGTTATTTTTAGTTTTTAGTGATGTTTTTTGAGGATCCCTGTTCCATACATGCAATATTGGATTCTCAGCTTCACATAATGGTTTGCATGGACAAAAAACTTACTTTGAAGAGCATCTTTAGTATTGTGCATTCAGCCCTACCTAATCAATCCTGGAAGGAAAGTATTATATTCCATTTTAAGTATTTTCAGGACTGGACACTGCTATATTCAGACTTAACATGTGAAATGTGTGTAAGCGCTTTCTAAATCCTAGTGCAGTTTCACCACTGACATAGGGTCACCTTTAGTGAGCTTAGTGACATGTTGCTTGCTTACAGCAGAAGCAAACTTGGCCCTTAAAATCTGAAAGTAGTCTGTTGCTGTTTAACATTCTTGAAATACCTTTCATGGTCAGAGACTTCCTTAAGCAAATATGTGCAGGCAGCCACTGGATTGTGACCATCTCTGGGGTAGGAGGCAATGACAAGATGGAAAAAAGAGCATCCTGGGTAACACAGTAGAATGGGATATTTTTTACCTAGTATTCTGGATCTCCTCTTACACCTTGTGCCCTGGAAATTTTCACTGGTGATGCAAAAAGAAGGAGAAAATACAACAATAGTTTCTGGATACACAGAATCAGCCAAATCACCCTCCTCAGTACCACGAAGTGTACTGACACGTGTTTATTTCAGAGAAGTCCCTGAGCCCTGCAGTGTGGATGATGATCTTTAGAGCTGAGACCGTTTGTAACCGAGGCTTATTTCAATATGATCTCTGCTATAATTACTTCTGCATCTATGCTCCCCTTGCCCTCCCCTTCCTCCGGCGGCTACAACTCGGCAGCCTCCTGGCTGTGGTCAGGGAAAGTGCAAGCCCTTTTATGCAGGAGGTGGCTGTGACAGTGCCAGTGCAACATTTAACATTGCTCGCCAGCTTAGTGATCGCCCCCAGCGCTGAGTTGTCTGCTCTCTGTCCCTTCTCCCTTCTCACTTGTCCCTTCCCCCTCTCCCAAATATTTCTCCAGGCCTGTCTCATTGGTGCACTACTCTCCTTTCCCTTTTTTGGACTGCCACCCTGTCAATCTAATGCAATAAGGCCAGGGGCAGGTGCAAACCTCTTGCTATGGCTCCTCTTACGAACCAATCCTCTGCTGGCTCCCTGTCCCAAAATACCTAAGAGCCAATGGAGTGGGAAAACCCGGGAGCCCGGGGAGAGGTAGAGGCAAAAGCTGCTGGATTGCTGGGGTGGGGCATCCTTTTAGGAGCGGGGTTAGCCCAGGAGCTGCAGAACGCTTGGCTTCCTCTTGGAGCTGTGGTGACTTGTGGATATCAGGCGTGTTCTGCTGATTCATTTTCATCGCTGTCAACATGGTGATCAAAGTCTTTGTAGCCACATCTTCGGGGTCTACAGCGGTAGGTATCTCGTTTAACACACTCCTCTTCCTGCTGGGATCAGGTTGGTAAATTAGCCTAGAAGATCCCAGGACAACCTGACTTTGCATGGAGAAAACAGCACTGGATTTCTTCCATTCTGCATTGTGCACCTTATTCTTGAAAGTTACTGAAGATGTAGAGAATTCCTATTAATACAGGCTTGCTTGCATGTGAGGTTTTACTACAGGTGTAGCATTTACATGTAAATTATCTGTCGTTTAATAGATTTACTTCTGTTTGAAAAAGTACATGCAATATATATTCACTGAAGAAGGAAGAAGTGGATATTGTGTTTGCACAGAAGCTAAGGTAGATTGTTTACAGTAGAAATTAAAGTGTTTATTTTTAAAAGAGACTTTAGGATGCTGCTCTGCAAAAGGGGAACTCTATCTAGGAAAAGAGCCTGGAGCCAAAGTAAGCTGAATAAAGTTATGCCGAAAAAAATTCTTCCCCACCCCTCCTCCCTTTCCCTAGATTTTTGGTGGTTTTTTTTGTTTTTCCTTGCGTTTGGGGTTTTGTTTGGGGTGTGTCTGTTGAAATGCTATACTGATGATTTTTAATATTGAGATCTACTGCTGTAGCTGTCACCATAGTGTACCAGCTGAAAGGAAGGGCATGTGAATAGTGGGGAGGTTGGAAGTCCGTGGGAGGTGGGAACCGGGAAAGGACTGTTTCCTTTTATATCCAGTTCCTAGATGAGCTCAGATTGCAGCTTTCCTTTGGCAGTCACTCACTCCCAGTGACATGGCTAAACAAACTGGCTGGTGCTTGCACATAGCTGTAACTACATCTCTGTCTGTCTGACACCAGCTGCGTGTCTTTAAGAAGCTTCCAGAGTTGAAAAGCTTCAAAAACCACCCCCGGGTCATGGGACCATCATCTCTAGAAAATGAAGCGGGGGTCATTCACTAAAATTCAGATTGGAATACGGCTGAGGAACTTTGCAGTTCTCTGATCAGCTTGTCCGCCAGCCCATCACTAAGCCTGACACTCTAAATTTACTATTGACATTTTAGCATTCTTTTTTTTATAAGAAACTGCAGATGCAAGGGAAAGAAAGAAGAGGGGGTTGGAAACTGCAGCTCTGGTAATTTGTAATCTAGCTGTTACTGCTCAAGTAGCTTGATAAATTACCACATGCTGTGCATTGGCAGTCTTTTCGCTCCTGTTTGGTCTCCTGTTGTGGTCTCCTTTGGTTGACCAAAGAAGCGTCGTCCCTGCCTCCTTTGCTACTCATCCGTTTTCTGGGGAAAGTTGTGACAGTGACTGAAATCCCAATGCAGATATTCAGTACCAGTGCGTTGGGGCCACCATCGTTTCATGTGGCTCAGGCACAAACTGCTGCCACTCCAGCTGCAGGACTGGGGCTGTAGTTCAGCAAGGCGGTTGTGTGAGTGCTTTGATTAAATGCTGACATTCAGAGATCACTTATGCAACTAAAACTAAGCATATCATATATTTAGCACTAGCTGAACCAAGACCTTTCCTGTGCTATACAAATTCCTGGTATCTCCTCCCAGCTAGAAGCTCCAACCAACTCCTTTCCTCTTGGGCTGCAGTGAAGGGAAGGGATGTGTACACTACACTGAACACCGAACAACATGCGAGCTCTATCCAGCCATTTTGAGCTGTTAAGCATTGCTGCTGTGGTTTATTACTGCTAAGAAATACAGCTAATGCCAGAGAAATGTAATAGGATTTAGGCTTATTTATGCCAATCATCTCCCCTGTATGTTAGCAGCCCACAAAAGCTGTTAGTGAGATCCCAGGCATGTACTGGATGGAAGGGTAGGGCATCTCTACACCGCAACATGCCTCTGTATTTCCTCATTTCTGGTGTGTTGGGTGTATGTGTAGCTGTAGCAATCTCAGAAGTATTCAGATTACTGATACATAATTGCAATGCCAAGTAAACACAATGTTCGGCTGGCATAGTTTTCCACATTTTTCTGATTAAAATGGATGGAAAGGATCCTTTCAATGAACCTTTAAGGAGTTTTGATATATATCAAATAAAATGCATGCAAGGAGCCAGCACAAACCCCAATATATCACTAAAATCCTGTTAAAATAGATTTTGTATCAGCCTTGTACAGCTCTTCCTGAGAAGAATGAATTTAATCCCTAAAGAGCTTAAATTGGAAGTCAAAATTGTCCTAGTAGCACTGGTGCTCTCTTCAGTGTGGCTGATCTCCATCAAATGAGCGTTGTTAATTTCGAATTTCAAAATAAGATGGGTCCAGCCTGCTGTGGTGTAACTCAGCAAAGGATCATTGGTAAAGAATGAAAAAAGTTTCTATTCTATGTACTACACAGTCGCACTACTAATTGCAACTGGTTATCATGTTAATAATGACTTTTTAAAAGTGAATGCAGTGAAACAAGTAACATTCTGATGCTCTGGATCAGATGCTTGAATGGTATCATTCACTGTGGCTCTAGGGCAAATCTGCAGTCTGTATTTTTCCCCTCATTGATTCAGAAATTTATTTTGAATAATTTCAGCTTTATTAGCTTTCTGCTCCAAACTTAGCTGATATTGAACTAGTCATTAAGGCAAGCAGAAGTGGAGACTCTTATTTATAGCACTAAAAAGTACTAAACGCTTGGCTTGAAGCAAGCAGTAAAAAAAAATCATTTTGTTACTAGCCACAGAGGTGCTTAGAAATGGGTAATATCCTGCAAGGTTCGAAGGTACCATGAATCATGGGAGAAGGGGGGCTCGTGTCTTACACAGAGGTAGTCTTCCAAGTGTGCTTACTGCTCCTGATGGTTAGGGCACCTCTGAAATCCTTTAATTCACAGCATTTTTGGTGACATTTTATAAACTTGCCCAACTTCAAATCCGTAGGTCTCAGAAAGACTGAGGAAAATGTAGACTATTTGCATTAAGTCCTCGAAAATATAGGGTCATCCATGACTCTGAATCTAGCCACATATAAACCTGAGCTCAAATTTCAGATCAAGTTCAAGTCAAATCAGAGGTTAGAGTGTGATAAATAAGAATAATTATCAGGAATAGGTTGTCCATGCGGTGTTAGAACCAGAAGGTACAGCAACTCTGCCTACTCACACTGATGTTCCTCTTGCTGCAAGTTGTTGACTATGTACTGTTCGCCTCTGCCATAGGCAGCTGGTCGATACGAATGCTCTGGATTGTGAAGATGTAGATAACATTTATTTATGCATCAGGTGAAACTAGTATTATCTGTAGCTCTTACACTCTAGCTAGATAATGTTTCTTTAGACCAGTTTTTTCTTATTTTAAGGGACTAGCAGCTAGGGATGGTGGAATTTAAGCTTTGTTGAAATGGAAAGTGACGTTGATGAAATAATATCCTGCTCACCACCACTTTCCAGGCAACCTATGCCCAAGTAATCTGAATTCTTCCCATGCCATCAGAAACAAGTGAGGGCACAAACAAGCTCCTGCAATCTTATCTATTCTGGGAAAACCTTTGCATGTCCTCTGCGTTGTTACATCCTGGAAGATTTCCCTCTCTGAACCCTGTTTGCTGCAGAGATGCTTTTGGTTGCCCAGCTACCTGGTGCCGGTCACAGCAGAGGTTTGCTTTACGGTGTCATGCTTAGCATGTGTCCTGAGTCTTTTGCTCTGCCTAAACCCTAGGAATTGTAAGCCTGAAGACATAGTACATCTTCTGCATAGTTTATCTTGCCTTTTCCTTATGCAGGCATAATTGCATGTAGATTTTTGGTTTTCCTCAGCATTCATTTTTCACACAAACCTCTCCTAATTTTTGCTTTCAGTCCTTGTGGTGTCTGAGCCTCCTGCGTATTACGAACCTCAAGCTGAAGAAAAATTGTTTATCCAGGTTTAATTCTAGAAGTTATAACTACAGCCATAAGTAAGGGAGCACAGGATCTACAGCTCTGTTTCCATTATCTCCTCAGAGGCACCATCCGTCTGGGATAGCTATTCCAGGAGCTGTATCTACTTCAGTGTCTGTGTCCAAACAGACAAGCTGACGCTGAAATTGCAGCTGACAGCACTTGAGTACACTGGCTTTCAGAGCATGTGGTGAAACTCTTAGTTACTGGCTCACACAGATTTTATTAACCATTTATACAAACATTCCCCTGCCACATCCTCCAATGAAGCGTCCCTGAAGCAATCCTTTCTGCCACACGAATGTGTTCAGCAAATAACTGTGCAGCTAACTAGCCATTAAGAAAATAACCTCTGTTTAAAAAATGAAAAGAGAAATATAAATAAGCACCTTTGAGATCTGCCAACTGCATGGCTTTTGAACACTTTGGATTAGTGTTTCCATTCAAGTGATGTACTTTTTTTAGCTCACCATAAACCTCTGTTGTTGTCATAAAAATGTAGAGCATTTTATGTTTGTTATTTTTTATAAGCAAGTATAGCTGTATAGATACGTACTTTGTTATTTAAACAAGAAAAGGAAATTTTATCCTTAGCCATGAAAATTCATTCTTCCAATATAATAGGGTATCACTCTATTTCAGCTTTTGAGGTTTATAAGATTATCAAAATACATAATCTGTGAATTATTTTTTGTCTCATTGTCTGTCTCAGACTGATTTACACTAGCTTGGTGTCGCTTTAAATTCAGTTGTTCAGATGTCTGACTTGTGGAAGGCATGGTTTCAAATCATATGATGGCTTGTATGTAAGAATTACCTTGATACATCATTCTAGCTACTGTCTCTATAGGACGCTAACTTGCTGCATGGAGTAGCATAATTGGGAGGAGAAGTGAGTCGCATCTGGAACATGATTGTACTAGGTAGTGATTTAGCTGTCTGCGACTGAAGAGCAGGTTCAGAGAATACGTATGGATCAGTCCAAACAATGCTTGCTTCAAATGCTGCAGTACTTCTGGGCTAAAGTTTGGCCTTGCAGCTCTTAGACAAGTTAAACATAAACAAAATGGGGAAGTCCTTTAAATATTGCTTAGGAGTAGCATTCCTTTAGTAGAGAAGTATAGTGAGTATTACATCTTCAAAATAAAGGGACGGGTTATAAGCTTGATGCCTGCATCCTAGGTCTATAGGGAACTAGCGTCAAAGAGAGTAAGGGCTATGACTGAATTTTAGCTGGCACAGAAGCTGCATATAACATGCTTTGTTTGTATGTAATAAGTTCTTCGTGGTCCAACTGGAACACCATTCTGTAACGTGGGAAATATTCAAGCCCAGGAGTTAAGCTGTACTGGATTTTCATTGAGCTTTCACTCATACTTAATTATGCCTAGCATTAAAGAACACGAACAGAGAGAAACACGTGGCTCACGGAAAGCTGCTTGTCCTATGTAAGGAGTATGAAAAACGGGACACTGACGTGTTCAGGAGAATATGTACGTTCTCAGGCCTGTGCTCAGTCTAGGCAGGATTGCCTTAGGTATCCGCCCACCACGCTCACAGATACGGGAACAGAGTAGGAGGCTTTCTGCTGAGCCCCATTTCTTAGATGGAGGTATCACTGCTTCCAGGGAGGGAGGAAGGAAGCTGTGGGGGAAGTAACTGCAGTGCTCTGGGTGCTGAGCAGCAGTGTTGAATCTCAGCTTCAAAAATTTTGGGGGCTACTAGAGTAGTGGATCCAACTTCATATACTTACATTAGTTCTGCCTGTAATAACAATTGCTTTTAGGAAAATAAATTATTTTTAAAGAATGAATTTCGTTTTTCCTCTTTCCTAACCAGATCAAAAAGAAACAGCAAGAAGTAGTGGGCTTTTTAGAGGCCAACAAGATTGACTTTCAGCAAATGGACATAGCAGGTGATGAAGACAACAGGAAATGGATGAGAGAGAATGTCCCGGGAGAAAAAAAGCCTCAAAATGGAATTCCCCTCCCTCCACAGATCTTCAATGAGGAGCGGTACTGTGGGGTAAGAAGCTGTTCGGAAATTTAAATACCTTCAGAGAGTCTTCTTTCACAGAAAGGGGCTCTTTTCCGTTAGTAGGAAATGTCAAACGAATTCCTTAAGACAATTTGAGATTCACTTTGAAAGAACAATTCCTAGAAAGCATTTTTCAGGCATGGAAAAGCAATGAAACAAAAGATTATTCCTTTTTAAGAGAAAAATATACACGGAGGGAAAACTGACTAGCGAAACTCTGCTTAACAGGCTGTATGGGTTATCCCCTGCAGACCCAGAGCCTATGTGGGACCCAGAGCTCTCTGCAAGGCGTGGGGTTGGCCGCCTGTGAGGAGCTCCGTGTTTTCCTTTCACATTCTCCTACCTCCTGCTGTGTAGATCACTCACAAGTTGTCCTGCTGTTGGCTCTCTGCCTGCACTCGCACTTCAGCTCCTGAAGACCAAAGGCAGTACAGTCTCGGTGACGCTTTGGCTGCTTCACTCAATGTCTCAGGATAACCAAATGTAGGCTATGAGCATGGCTCAGCTGTGCTTGGAGTAGTAAATGCTCGGTTATGTGGCTTGACAGTACTGAGGTACTCAAGATTAGTGGGGTTCACAGCAAGGCTGATCTGCTGTCTCTGGCTGTATTGCATTTTGCTTCTTGAACTTTCAGTTAATTTTGCATGGTGAGTGCTGATATTTTCTCTGTTTGACACCGACTCATCTGGGCTGCTAGGAAGTCAAGTAAACCTGAGGCACCAGGGGCTGTGAACAGGAATCTTTCTTTTCCAGTGTGTTATACAAATAAATAGGAATTATAGTTGACTTCAGTAGTTCTAGTATGTGTTTTAAGTTATTGAAATTTTATTGCTTATTCAATAAATACCCAGCTCTTCATAACGGGAATTGTAACACGCATTAGATGCTTTTATATTTTTGCACATGCTGTAACAGATTGTTTCTCTTGAGAAAGTTTGTTCAGATCAGTGATAGATAATACTGTACCAGCATGAATATTAGGATCATGAATCAAAAGAGTTATCTGAGACAGTTTTTTTCTCAGTCTGGATGGAAATACGTAGTCTGGAAAGTACTCTGATATGATCACTGAAATGAACTTGCAAAGTACTCTGAAACGCAGATCACATAGTGAGCCCAGTTTTATGTTACTCCACAAATCCAGTGTGAACTACTGCAACGGTTGCTTTGAGAGAGAAGGGATTTGCATGCCACTAAGTTTTCAGAATTAACTACAGTGCTCTCAGAGCAGAAGTTGCTAGCATGAATAACAGAGTGCAACTGTTTCCTCATTTTCTCATAGGAATCTTAAAAAAGAGCTTGGCAGGTTGGAGTTCATGTGCATTTCAACATCCAATCTGCACCAATAAAAAGTATAATTTGATATAGCGTACTCTGGATTTTGTGGCAGACAATGTTGCAATAAATATTTCTGGTATTCCCCAGAGAGGTTACATACTGAATTAAAGAGTAATTGCCTTACAAAGTGTTGCAGCTAGTCAGCCTTGCCAGTAAATGATAAATACACAGTTTTTATTCCATGTCTGAAGCTATTTAAGGAAGCCAAATAATCTACATCTTGAAATAACTTTAAGTTAAGTAAGAGTCCTTTGAAAAGACACCTCCAGGTGGGAAGGGGTCCAGAAAGCAGTTCCAGCTACTGATATAAAGACTAAATAAAATTTACAATTAGTCTGAAAGTCTCCAGAGTTCTAATGTACCCAGCTGTCAAAGCTCATAGCTAATGATCCCAGTGGGTTCATAACAAAGATTAATTTATAGCCTCATTATTTCCAAATAAATAAGGTAAGGAGATCCGTATCAGTACATGAGCCTTATCCTTCTCCTCAGGGGAAGGTGCCTTGAGGGAGCTGCACAGTGAGGGTGAAGGGGGATTATGTAGGCTGGTTGAGAACACGGCCAGGGGCTGGCAGACTGGTGCAAAATTCCTCCCAGTGACACGATGTCTTCTGTAACATGTCTACAATATAAAGCTGGGGATTTGCATTCTACTTCCCTGCATAACCTGTGCAGGTCCAACAGACCCATCGTTCTGAAATCCAGAACTGTTTTACGCTGTTTAAGGTTTACATGATGTATCTTAATTCTTCCCCTGTGTCCCACCTACTTTGTCCTCAGCCACTTTATTGAAAATAGGGGTGAGAATTGCAAAGGTCTGTCTGAGTCATAGACTCCAGTCCAGTATCCTGAATTCATGAAAGTCCCTTTAAAATATGTTGCTTTTGTTAGTACAGTCTTCAAGGGCCTCAGTCTCGTGGCATCTGGAAACCCTCGAATTTGTAGCCTGGGTATATGCAGCCAGTTTATACCCATTTCCTGGTATGCCAAAATCACCCTTTAGCTTAAACAGCTCTAGTCAAATGTATTTGTAGATGGGAATAATATTTTCCATTAATCTTCATTTTGCTACACTAAACAAGTCAAGCTCCTCACACCTCTTTTTTGTAAGACACTTTCTCCTTCCTACCAACTTTTTTCTTTTCTCATTCTCAGGTAGTCCTTTGTTTTTAGGTCAAACTTGTTAGATTTCATTTCTGCTCATTGTCCTTTCTGAGATCGCTCTTTTCCCTCACCTCCCTTCCTATCAATTGTCCTGTATGCTTGGCTCCCATTCACGCATGTGCATGTGTATATGCATTAGCAGCATGCTGGCCTGGGAGCACTGCCTTGGGAGATGAAAATTAGAGATAAAAGATGTCCTTCCTCACCCTGAGAAAGAGGATTTTGGAGAGACACATGACAGCCTTTAAATATTTTAAGGGCTGCAGCAAAAATGAATTAATTATTGGTCTGATTTCAGTATTGACCCTGCTTTGAGCAGAAGGTTGGACTAAACGGTCTCCTGAGGTCTCTTCCCAGTTGAATTATCCTGTGGTTCTAGTATTTTGCAAAATATGTTCTGCTCCACACCCAATGGAGGTGGAACAAGAATTAATGAGCAAAAAATGCAGCAAAGAAGGTTGAAGTCAGATGTCAGAAAAAAATACATTGTTTTCAGGAGATTGTCTCATTATCTCATTAAAGGGTTGGAGAAACACCTATCAGGAATAGTGTAGTGGTTCCTGCCTTGGAGAAATGGTCCTTTGAGATCTTATCCGTTTCCCAGTTCAGTGAAATTTTGGGGGTGGGGTAAGGAAAGAGGGGATACTAGGGACAGGTGAGGAGGCTTCCTTTATGTGCTGGAACAGACTGACATAACGAGCAAGTAAATGCAGTCCTGTTGCTAATCTCCTTTTCTGTTGATAAGTAAAAGTATCTACATCTTCTGGCTGACCCTGAGGAGCTGCTTCACTTCCTAACTTGTACTGTAAAATGGAGGTTTCTTATGGATGCATTTATGAAAATACAACTGTGAGCAGCTTTTTTTGTGAGGTCAGAGAAGCTAAAGATTATCTTATAAATAGCTTGAATCTTATTTTTCTTTCAAATCCTTGGTATTGCCACTTGAAGAAACAGATTAGAAATGGATTCATTTTGTAAGCCTGGCTATAGCACCAATTTCGAGTATCCCTTCTAATCCATCAGTGTTGGCAATTATGTTTTTATTTGATCTTTTTCTTAAGCTGCTTCTTTGCTTGTGTCTAGACAGATGTCTGCATCTGTGTCACTTTGTAAATATATTGAGCAATCTGTTGCTCTTGCCTTTGCTTTTGCTTAACAAAAACCCCCAGAAAACTAGGAAAGAAATGGAATGTGAACTTCTGGTTTTCTCTGTAAACTGAAATTTATGTTTTTCTCTGTAAACTGAAATCCATAGAATAAAACACCCATGTACATATTTATGTAAAGAATCTCTAAATTATTAGGTAAGGTTTTTATCTGATGATTCATATAACTGCTAAATTCAAATATACAGAAACCATAGGGACCTCTGGAGGTCTGTAGTCCAGCCTGTGGCTCAAAGCAGGGATAGCTTTAAAGTTAGCTTATGTTGCTTGGGGCTTTGGCCATCTGAGTTTCAGAAGTCTCCAGGGATGGCGTTTCCATGCCCTCTCTGTGCACGCTGACCTGGTGCCCTACCACTTGTGTGGGGAAGAACTTTCCGCTGATGCCCAGCTGGAGTTTGCTGTTTTGCTGTCTGGCATTTCCACAGTGGCCATACAAAGGATGATAGCGTAGAGTGTATATGTGCATATGCACTCATATCATACAGAAAAACTCACAGAATATTGTTTTTTAAAAAATACATTTCACTATTTTTCAAAGACTATTTCCAAAGACAAATGACTTCACTACCCTCTGCCTGCACTATTTATGTCTTCTCATACAAATATAATATTATTGCTTACCTGAAATAAATTGTTACTGCTCATTTTTCTTAGTGCCTGCGTTAGGAACAATTGTCTTCAGTCATTCAGTGAATGGAGATGTGAACAAGTCACCGTTAGGAAAGTAAGAGTGCAAATATACAATACAAAAACTATTGCATGGTCACTGTAGTCATGCTTTTATCCCATGCTAAATACATAATAGCTTGCTCCTCAGTATAAGCAAAGTAAGTGACCTCCCACTTGCTGTAAGATACCACATTTACTGTGGGATGTCATTGTACACCATCAGTTCCCACGGACTACCTGATATGATAGAAGGCTGTATCCTTTTCTGATAAGGAGTTTATCTGGTCATTCACATGTCTTGCTTGTGCCCTCAGGTCTGGTTATCTACAAGGCTACATGTCTGGAGATTTTTAGTACACTTGCCATCTGCTGCTTTTCCTCTGGGGAGGAACTAGCAAGACGTGTCTTCTGGAGAAGAGAAGGCTGCGGGGAGACGTTATAGCAGCCTTGCAGTACCTGAAGGGGGCCTGTAGGAAAGATGGGGAAAATATTTTCAGCAGGGCTCGTTGCAATAACAAAAGGAGTAATGGCTTTAAACTAAGGGACGGTAAATTTAGACAGGATGTAAGGAATCCTATCCTACCATAAGGGTAGTGAAACACTGGCACAGGTTGCCCAGAGAGGTAGTGGAGGCCCCATCCCTGGAAACATTCAAGGCCAGGTTGGGCGGGGCTCTGAGCAACCTGGTCTAGTTGAAGATGTCCCTGCTTACTGCAGGGTATAAAGGTCCCTTCCAACCCAAAGCATTCTATGATTCTGTGATTGTAAGTCCAGTTCATGGCCCTTCCTTGTTATAGTCTTCTCTTTCTTTCCCAGCTATTGGCATGGTGTGTCATAGTTTGCTTAGGCCATTTCATGAGTACGTGGTATGCAAGAGGACACAAGTTTCATGTGTGTGTATAACCCATGTCAAATTCTAGCTCTTCAAATTGCAGAAAATCCTCATGTTCTTCTTTGCTGTATCACTCTTAAGTTTATGGGTTAAACTTCAGACACTGGCTTTTACTAAATACTTAGAGCAGACCTGGATTAGATGAGACCCCACAGCAACATGAGAACAGCAAAGAGATGGTTTGAGAAATGGGTGGCCTGGAGCAGCAAGAGGTATTCTGCTTCGTCAGGGCAAAATGTTCTCTGGTGCTTCTCCCAGACTGGGCAGTTCCTGCTGCCTGTAGCGAGGTCTGCGTGAAAGCCAATCTGTCCATTAGATAAATCAGTGAAATGGGCTGTCATTTATCCTGTCTGTTAGGCTATGTTACCTCTTCCAAACTGGACTGAAATGTCATCATTCCAGTCTTGTTGACTTTAAAATGACTTTTAAAACATCCACTCCAGCCTTTCCCTAGGATTACCCTTTGCCAGTAATTCATTCTCTGGGATACTACAACAGCCCAATAAAACAACTCAGGTCCTAACGCAGCTTTACAAACAAGTCTCAAGGATGAGTCAGCACCTTATTATTTACAGGCTTCTATTTTTGGAGCTATTTGGGATGAGAGGGAGGATGGTAACACGGTCAAGGCAGTAGTCTAGGACTCAGCAGACATGCGGTCAGTCCCTTGTCCTACACAGAGCTGCTGTGTGGTTGTGGGCCAGTCACTTACGGCCAGAGTTGATTTCTACCTGTGTAAGATGCGAGTCGTGAACTTCCCAGTAAGACTGTCCCAGTAAGTGGTGACAGCAGAGCTTTCTTAATTGATAGGAGAGTTGTACAGATGAATACAGTAAAGACTATGCAAGTTCTAGATGGTAGGACAGGAGCCATCCCTCACGCCTTTTCAGTTATATTAGCACTGAAGAGAAAACAGGCATTTAACAAAATGATTTATAACTTCAGTTCATGTGTGGACAAGATGTTTTGGCTGCTACGTATATGTCAGAGGGAACAACACAGTCCTTTGCTAATTTTGTCTGAAAAGTAACTGCGTTTTCTAATCAGATTGCCTTTCTTTCTTTAAAATAAACAGTTTCCTCATCATCATTTTACTTGTGCTATTACATTGACTGTTGACTTTTATTTGCCATAAAGCTGTTCAGGATTTTGAGGGTCTATTTTTTGTTCCTCCTCACAGCAAGTTTGATTTTAACATTTAAAGGGGAATAGCTTTGCTTTGGTGTGAGGCACATTTGAATGAGACACTTCATTTTATCTGATTCTGACATATATGTGATATAATTAAAGTATAATTCTCTGGAGAGATTAACCCATGTGTTCATTCTGCCAGCCAGTGTGAAACTCGCTCTATCTGAGTTTTCTTCCTGGGGCTTAAATAAACCAGGTGCTTTTGCAAATGCAGTCATTCTTATCAATATAAGAAAGATCTACCTGGGCTACTGTCTTCCTCCTGTGCTTTTATTTTTTTTAACTTTGTTACCAATTGTCTGTTGTTTGTTTGTTCATTTTTTAGGATTTTGAATCCTTTTTCTCTGCTAAAGAAGAAAATATTATTTATTCATTCCTGGGTCTTACTCCTCCTCCAGGCACAAAGGTATGCACTGCTGTCCTTCCATGGGGGCCATTTGTCTGATTTTAATAAAAGATGAAGATAGGCAGTGACTCAGCATGTCAAATAAGGGACAGTGACAAGCATTATGTTAGATGCTGGTGCACCAAAGTGTTCTTAAAGGGGGGAAAAAAAGTGGCTGTTCAGTAAATGCTAGAAAATACTTCTTTCTTCCCTGCTTTCACTGCAGGCTTGTTACCATGCCTCCAGCCCATGATTTTTTTTGTTGCTGTTGAAAAAAAAAAGCAAAGCAGTGTTTTATCATGTTCAGCTTTCAGAATTTCCTAATGCAATTTGTAGGTTGTGTTAATTACAAGAAAACTTCACTTCTCCCTGACTGCATCAAATCTTGAGCAAATAGGGTTTGTGCTGGCCACCAGCGGCGAGGCTGGGGTGTGGACCCATCCCATCCTCTGTGTGTACACGCAGACGGACGCTGTGGGGTTCACTCCCTCTGTCCAGAGGAGATAACCTAGTGTCTCACAGAGGACTTCATGAAGCCCCTTTGGCAAGTCTACCTGTTGGTCTCTATACACTGTATTTTGACAATGATCTAATATATTTCTGACAAAAGCAAAATATGTTTCTTTTTTTTTCTTTTTTTCTGTTTCTTATTTTTACAGAAAGCAATGTGTTTTATCTTTAACAGACTCTACTTCTAATTAGAAGTTTTATAATTGAGAGCATGATAGCTCTCGTATCCTGAGATCATGTTAGATGATAATAAAATGTTGCCATCTTTAACGTGTGTGATCTGACAAAAGAAGTTAATCAAGAGGGCGATGAGCCAGAGTGATAGAAGAACTCTGCTGAATTGTGGTGACCTAGCTGAAGAACTGACCTGGAGCATGAGATCTGCTTTCTGGTCCAACTCTGCTGCCAACTGTGCAGCAACTTTGAGCGAAACCCTGCTGTAAAGGTCTCTGGTTTTCCTCTTCTGTAATAGCAGAGAGAAAAAGGAGCCTTTGCTAAGTGCTTTGAGAGCGACAGATGAAGAGATACCCAGGGGAGAGCCACAGCTGCTATAAATGTCTTTGACACTGAGTCCCTGCGTGATAAGGAGCAAGTGATTTAAACTTTCTACTTGAGCTGTGCCATCTCCCACGAAGGGAAATAAAAATTACTTGCCTGCCTCACAAAGGTCTTGTGAGAATTCATTTAATTAACATCCACAAAACCATGAAAGGCTTAAAGAACTGCAGGTATTACATATTATAACGATTATAAAAGATATGTGGAGAATCAATGAGATAAAGAAAATTGCATTTTTCCATCTTTCCACTTCATATATTATCTTTTCCTTCATGCAGGGTTCTGTTAGATAGTGTGTCTATGAAGCAAAGTAGCAATTTTTTAGGATTAATTCATTCCCAGCTGTCGGCAGAGGCTATTACAGTTTCTACTTCATGACAACTTTGTAAATGTTGAAAATAATATGTTCAGTACATTCTCCTGGGCAGATAAGTGTTAATGCTATTGGTAGTGAGCAAGTATGGTTTATGCTGATTAACTCCTGCATTGGAGGTGGTGGTGATTGTTTCACTCCAGAAAGTGGAAATAAGTGAGTGTTTTTAAAAGACCCATGTAAAGAGTGAAAGTATATTTACTTTGTCTCCCTTTTAGAATCTGTTCCTGGATTCGAGAGAAACACACACAAGTGTTTTAGCATTTATTGCAGAGATGTTTCTCAGCATCTTCATTGCATGACAGTCTGGCTGTGCTTTGTCATGCAGATAACCTTGCTGCACTGCTTCTGCTTTCCTTTCATTAGGCTGTCAATTCAGCCTTAGCACGAAGTACAGTGGATGGCTCATGACTTTGATTTCCAGCAGCATGAATCTGGAACAATAAGTCAGGTGTGGAAGAGATGGTGATGATGACACATATGACAGGGTTTTCTACTAATAATCTTCTTAAATAATTGTATTTTTCTTGCTGGAATATGGTGATAATTTATAGAAGCAGCAAGCTGTAACGCATGGAAACACACAAAACAGTAAGCATTTGCTTTATAGGGGCTTTTACCTCACTGAGACATTACGAAGATTAATATGAAGCTGTTACATGTTTTATACTTTTGCCTCAGAAGATTCTCTTTCCTTTTCCATCCGTCTCTTGTCTCATACTGCGCCTGCAGCAGAGAAGCTCTTTAATGACCGTGATGCTGTTTCACAGCATAGTCCACCAGGATCCTGACCCAGTACTGTTTCAAGCCTGTTTTCTAGAGCAAGCAGAGGAACTTTTTGCTGCTCCCTCAACAAATTGTAACTTCCCAAGAGAATACTTGTAGTTAAATTCCTTGCCACATCAGCCTGCTGAGTGCAAAATACATGTTTCGGTTCTGCAGATTCTCATTTTTGTACCCCTGACTTCTTTCTGGGTTAGGTGGCTGCAACTTGTCACCAGACCTACTTGTCCAGTGTTTACAGTGAACTGTTACTGCTGGGTTTTAGAGCTCTGATGGTGCCAGAACCTAATGTGCAAGCTGATCTACGCTTACAGGGTGAGTCTGGTATGTCTAGGACACATCAAAGTTGTCACCAAGGTGCATAGTGACTCTAAGACACATGTAAAGAACCTCTGAACACACAGACACAAAGGAGATTCTTCTCAGATCTGCAGCACACATGCAAAATAGTCTTTACACATTTAAGTATCCTCTTACAAAAAAAGCTGTAATTTTCGCAGTAGGAAACAGCAAATCAACATCAAAGCTAACTGGACTGGCTGGAAAGCAGGCTGGGGTGCAGATCCCTAAGTAGACCCCCCCCCCTTGCCTGCAGCCAGCCATGTTCAGACCTCTGCTAAGGGTTCTGGCCAGGTACCACTGTACAAATGGCCAGCTGCTGTGTCCATCACTGTGCTTCTGCATCCAATACAATGAAGTGTTTAGGTGCCTGGACGGCCTATGGAAAGTTCTGCAGATCTTGGTGGAAAGGCCAAAGCTCTGAATGCTAACTATTTGCTTAGATCACTGTGGGAGTCAGGCAAGAATCATAGAATCATAGAATGGTAAAGGTTGGAAGGGAGCTTGAAGATCATCTAGTTCCAACTGCTGGAATAGCAGGGACATCTTCCACTAGAAGGATCTTCACATTTTTTTTCCTCCTATATACCAAGTTCATTTTTATCCTTAAAGGGTGCTATGTGGCCATAAAACTCAGTGACTTTACAGGAAACCAATACATACTTTTCGTACTTCAGAAAGGGTCAATTAGCTCACATCATCCTCTCTACTGATTCCTCTCCAACACACCGGTTATGTTTTCTAATACATCATCTAACAGGGATGAGAAGAGAAGAAACAGGCATAGTGTTTGTGTTAATAAGTCATTTAGTCTATTAATATGAAATACCTGCTCACTTAAAGGAACACCTGGTCTAGAATACTGCTAATCAGGTTTTGTGGCAGGCTGAGATTTAGAGGGCAGCTGTGCTTTATGCCTGACCTGAAGATCACTGAAGTTAGTGATAGATCTCTGAATGATCCCATCTAATCTTGGATTAGTGGCATGAATGGTGATGTGCCAATAGTATACGTGTGTGCATTTCAGCTATAATCAATGTAATTTGCATGCCTAGGGTCAGGTGTGTTAGTCTCAGATGCCCCCAAAGTTGGGTAGGGTTCTTTTTAAAGCCCCCGTCACTTTTATGCTTAATCTGAGACTGCTCCCTGTATTCTTGAAAATGTTCTGAAATATTGGTAATGTGTGAAGAGTCCATTAAAAGCTCCAGCTGCACCGCTTGTTTTCTAAAACGGCACAGGTCAATTGTTTTGTCAATGAGATGCCTATTACTTAAACTAAGATGATAAACAATATGCTGTATTATTACACCTTCAGTATCTTAGCAAGGTTTGAATGCTGGTAATTATTTTGTTTTTATTTTCGAGGACAATCAGGTTTTTTGAGACCTTTGTTAACTGCCATGGAATACTGCTTCTGTCCAGAGAGCCGGTAGCTTGTAGCACAATCATTTAGGTGTGCAATTGCTCTGTGAACTCAGTGAAGCTGATTTACTTGAACTGCGGGTCTGTTTTCAAATCTTGTATATAGTTAAATCTTTATCCACAATCTTGATATCCCAAAAATCCGTAGATACTTGAGCTTTAGTCTTCTACTAAGACGGCTTTTAATTACAAATTTATAGTATGCGCATTTTATTTAAAGAGAAAATGACCTGTCAGCCAATCATTATAAATGGTATTTCATTTTAAATTATTTAAAAATTAAATTTTGTGTTTCTATGGAGAACTAGTATAATGATGATATCCCAAACATCACAATTCTCCATATAATTAACAAGAACTCTGTATGTGTGTGTGCGCTTGTGTGCATGTATGTGTGTTCTGGCTGATAACACGCTGCTTCTAGAGCTTAGCTCTTTCAGCTACATTTTTTACATTATGCTCTGAGTAAGTATATGATTCATCTGAGATAGTTTTACACAATAGATTCATTTTAATTAGAATGCCATCTTCAGTCTTTATGTATTTTATGTATCTGCCAAAAGGTATTGAGTACGTAGATTTTAAAATGAGATGTTAATATACACGCTGAAAATAGATATCTAACCAATTCAGTTTTCATTAGTACTTTTTATGTTATGAACTGCTACAAAGAAAGGAAGTTACCATTTGTTTAAGAAAAGAATGTATTAACACAATGATGCACAAGAGAATTTCAATATATGTCTGTGTTACTACATATTTTAATATTCAAATATTTTGTTAGCTTGTAGGGGAAAAGTAAAAGATAAAGTAAGCCAAAAAAATGTCTTCCTTAGATCTGTTTTTATTACCAATGCTGCCAGCATCAGAGTGCAGTGAGCCCAGTTTCAAGTGTACTTGAAATGAGACAATATTGTCAGAAAAAGAAGTAGTCTTTTCTCCTTCCTCCTTCCTCTGGCTCCTTCTGCTTACCCCCAGCTGCTCATTCCTCTCCCCAAGCATCCCCCACATGCTGGCAAAAACATTCATGCAGCTGTGTAATAGAGTGTGCAAATTGTGTGAGATAGAAATGTGTTTCTTTATAAAGCTTTAATCTTGATCAGCCTCCTGCTCCAGTTCACCACGCAGCCCTGGAAAGGCTTTTGCTGCCAGGAGGGCAGGGGCAGGGCAGTGCTGGGAAGGGCTGCTGGGAGGGCCCTGCGTGCTGCTGACGAGTTTGTTGCTGTTGTTTTTTGCTGTGAAGAGGAAGGGGAACTTATGAGCCTGTGTGCCTACTCTCTTTTCATTACAAGCTCCTTACATGTAAACATATTTTCCATGATTCAGGAGAAAATTGCCAAAAGGACACCAAATCTCACAGGCAGTGAAGTCTCAGGAAAAAGATAAAACTGCAGAAGTCTTTTGTCTGTCTTCACTCTGTCATGATCTCTGCTTCCAAACATTACTAACCTCCTTTCTATCATTTTTGGCCCCATCCAGCAGAGCATCTCAGCAGGAGGATGTGTCTTATATTGCACACCACATCAAGGGACAAAGATCCCAAAGTCAGTACTCACCTAAGTCTGCTCTGGGGCCAAAAGCCAGATAGCTACGCTAGTGTCACGCTTCTGCAGGCTACGTACACTGGCTGAAGAAATCATATGTCGTGAGGACACTGGAGGGGGACTTGTGAAGCTTAAAGGACAGGGGATCATGACAGAGGGCTTTTATTTAGCTGTAGAGACAAATGAAATTATGGAAAAGCAGAAAATCCCAAACTGACCAGGTAGATGAGTTGTAAGGGCTTGGTCACAGAGATGAGAAAGGAGCTCATCTTCTATCAGGCACATGCTGCTCTGCCCAAAGCATGTAGGACTTGGGATGACACAGCACAGGACCTCCCCTGAGCCCAATTCTCCACTGCTGGAGGTGACCACACCATATAACTCCTCTCACAATTGGTCAAACTCCCTTTTAATGAATGAGGTCCTTTGCCTCCGCTTCTCTGCTAGAAAGCTCTTCCAAAGTTTCACACTGCTGATGATTAGAATTTTTATTGATAGCCTATTTGTACTCATTTTGCTTCTACCTCAGTGCTCTTCCTTATCCTATCCCTGTCTGGTGTTTACTCTGATCTATTTTTAGAGAGCCATCATATCCCCTCACAGCATTACTTTCAATAGATTAAAGTAATGAAGCTTTTTTTGTCGCTCTTTCATAAGACAGGCTCTCCACTCCCTCAGATATTCCTCTAGCTCCCCTCTGCACCTGTTCTAGTCTGAATTTCTCTTTCTTGAGCCTGAGTGACTGGAATGGTACAGAGTGATCCAGAGGAGGTTTCGCCTTGGCCTTATATAGTGACATGAATATTCACTTTCAGCTCCCCCAGCTGTACCTCACCTCACACATCTGAGGAGCACATTTTATTACCTCTTTCACTATCACATCACATTCATGGCTCAGTTATTCTGTGATTATTTAAATACATCCATCTTTTTCTTCTTTGATGACCATCAGCTAATGAGCTTCCATAGTGCTGTAGAACCATCTGTTTCTAAACTCTGTCCCAGAACTACCTGCCCCAAATAATGTGACTTTGCACTTCACGCTATTGCATTTCATCCTATTTCTGTTATTCCACTTGAGGCCATACAGATGTCCTTTTATCTGACACAGTGTGTGATCCAGTGTGACCTTTCACAGCTACTGAGCTGAAAGTACAACAGGACTTAAAATCAAGAGCCTTGTAGGAGGTGTCGGTTCACAGTGCTGGAATAAATAGATTTGATAGATTGGTGTGTGAATTGAGGAACAGTTTCCTGATTATTTTAAACAAGAAAGTTAAGAGACTACACATGAAATCCTTTATTGCTTCTGGTTTTCTGTAGATTCTTGTGGAGGTTGAATTGGTATGCATGCTGGTGAAAAAGGCTTTTTTTTTCTGAAGCTAGAATGTGTTATCAGGGTAAGCAGCTCTTTCTATCAAACTTTCCACAGAAAAACTAAAAACTTACTGGGCTCTGAAGAAGAAGTGCTTTAATTTGTGTTTTCCCTATACAAACCCCATGACTTTACCAACAGATCAACATGCCAGCAAGGGATCTTTTCACAGGAAAATGTTGAAAAGGGTATATTTTCATCTGAGTGCTGAAGCAAAATTAAAAAAACACAGTAAAATCAAGAGCTTTATAGAAATGAGTTGTTGGTTATGTGCTCTGAGGCTAACAATGACTTCTTGTTTGCTGCCAGGAGACTGAAAAGTCTGATGCCACTGACGAAACTGAGGCACACACGGAAGACAAGGCAGATGAAGGGGCTCACGAAGAGGCTCAGTCTGCTCAGTCACCATCAGAAGATCAACAGGTAATTTTCCCTTTTTTCTCTGTGGTATGAGGGTTTTACCTGTGCTGTAAAATGTAAACCTGCAGGCCCTCCTAGTGTGCCTCAGGGAGGGAAGACTGATGGCAGACTGGTCCAGCTTGTCTTTTGGATGCATTTTCTTTGATGTCATGGTGTTATGAAACCTAGATAAAACTCCAGGGAACTTTTCTCTGACTCTTGAATAACAGCAGTTTTCTTTATTTAGCAGTTTCCTTTTGCCAGTTGTTACCAGAATTTTTTTTTTTTTTTTTAATACTCATTTGGAACCAGAGTCTAGTTATGGAGAATAATTTAGAGCTAGACATCTGAGTCCTATCTGTGTGGAAGAATTTACTTCTATCAATGGCCAACATCTGCAGTGCTCATAAAGCTGGTTGTTAATATTTGTTGTTATGTGCCATCATTGACTGCTGTTGCAGCAAGCCAGATCTGACAGTGTCTTCTTCAGGCCATGCAGAAACCCCTGGGCAGCGCAGAAATGGAGACCATTATTATCCTGTCTGCCTGCATCATGGTCTGATATTACAGTCACATGGGCAGATCTCAAACTGCTGTGCTAAAGGTTCCTGGAAGAAGCCATCAGAGTTCCTTCAATTCCTTAGTATAATATTCTGCAGCTAGCTAACATCAGTAAAGTATCTGTGGTTGAAAGATATTCTGCTGTGTGCTGGTGTCTTCCTCAGTGGGGTGTTTATGTTACTGGCAAGGTTCTAGACCCAGTAGAGACCAAGCAGAAATGGATCCTGTGTCTGGAGATAGGGATGCAGCTGCTTTGTCTCTCCTGATGCTCTGACAGTTTGGCATTTAAGGATGGGTTTATTTTGATGTTGCAGTGTCAGGTAACTCTCTTCCCAAAGAGGCAGGCCTACTGCTGGATCAAGCACTTACACTTGTGGTTTTGTGTGGTTTGGTGATCAGATGGTCCCAGTGGAATATCTGTCACAAATGCATCATCTCTTTCACTAAGGACCAAAACAATGTGGTTTGTTTTTTTCCATCTAACTGCAATGTTTTTCCAGAGGAAGCACCTCTCTGTAAGCCTTTCCCCATTACCCTTTTTGACAATGACTGAACCAGTCACTGTTGGGCTGAAAAGCAGCCTTTTACACAGCCTTATGCAAGTCTCAGGCACTGGGAAGTCCTATTTAAAATTTAAAAATGGCGATGAGGAGAGACAGACCTGAGTGGGAACTGAAATTTCTCCATAAGTTATACCCAAGCACTTTTCATGATTCTATGAATTTCAGCTGGCATGCGAGTGCCATCAAATGCCTTTTATCTCGGCTCTGAAGAGAAGCCCAGCATAAAACTGCAGTGCATCCCCTGGCTGGATTAGGTTACTCGCCATTCTGTCTGGCAGTCTACTCTAATGTTTTTCAAATGAGAACAGAATGCTGGAACATGTCTGCAAATGTGTCAAGCAGCTGTGTATGAGAGGTTTTGTAATGACATAATGCAGTGCCACTCCTATACAACAAGCACCTTGCTCCATTTCTCACAGAATAGATTTGAGCTGTAAATGGAAAATATATTCTCCGTTGGTTTTATAGGGAGGAGAGTGGCAGAGGAGAGAGCACCAGGCAAGACAGTGTGTTTGAACAGTTCTTTCTGTGGGTATGAGGGCATATGATACGGTTAGACTTACAAATCCCCCCCTTTCACCTGCACAGTCTTGGCAGTGTCGTAGTGCTGTTACATGGTCCTACATAAGGAGGAGGAAAAGTCATCCGGAAATCGTCCAGCTCTGATAGCTACCTTCATCACACCAGGTGTATATTAGCCCCTAGGGGAAGGAAAAAATGCACTGTTCCTGTTCCTGTCTTACTTGTTTTTAGAGAGGGTACTCACCACTGCAGACAGCAAGGTACCAGGGGCTCCTGCTGGGGACGGACAAAATCCTTCTTTCACTACCCCCTTCCCCATGTCACCTAGGACAAATCACTTCAGTGACGTGGCATCTGTCCGCCTTGCCACCGTCCATCCCAATTATCACTGCTGTTGGGATGGCATGAATCACTCCGTAGAAATTCTGGTATTCTCATGCACTGCAGACAGCACACAAAGGACGCGTTTAGAGGAGAAGGACAACTTTGAGGCAGCTACATTGAGATGAATTCTACCTTTTGTCTCTATGTCTCATTTTATCCTTATAAAAGAAAGTTAGAATGAAATTTCCTTACCTGGTCAGGGTTTTATTGTATGAAGTTAAATAGATTGAAATACTGTCAGATTGCCATTGGAGTATCTCCACTGGATGTTAGGTCCGAAAGGATACGTGTAATATCAACATGGTGTTTTCAATATTTCCCTCTTTTCCTCATATTTGTAGCCCAGCACATCTTCCTTGACTGCTTCACCACACTGAACAGATGTTTCCATGTGCTCTCCCCACTCATGGCTTCTTTTCTTCTATCTTATTGACCTCATCCCTGTATACTGAGTTCCAAAGGGGTGACATTTTTATCTGCAGACCACTGTGTTTTGCAGCCAAACAGTTGCATGTTTGGAACAGTAGTCAGGTCCCTTTTGGAATGCTAACCTACTCTTATGACAAACCCTCAAATCAAAATGCCATAATTTAAACATTGTAGTTTTACATTTTGCTTCTGAATTAATGTACCTGTGGGAATCTAGTATTGGCATTTTGGCCTTATTTAGCACTCCGTTTCAAAACAGCATAAAAACGGCTCTCTCATGGAGGGTGTCAGCCAGCTGGCTTGTCTCAAGTGACTTTGAAAGAGGAATGCCAGTGCTATGGAAAAATTCTAGAAGAGTCTCAGAGAGGTAAAGACATCTCAGTCTTTGCCAGTGAGCGTAAGACAGATAACAAAATGCACTGTGACTGTGTCAATTGCGGAGCTGCATGGAGGGTCCCACATTCCAGAAGGCTCCTCCAATGCCTCAGTAGCCGGCGTGGCAGCCGGTGGTCAGTGTGGGTACATGTGGAGGCTGCAGCCCTGCCCTACTGCTTCTGTTGCTTTACTGGGAGATGCAGGAGTCCAGAAGCTCCAGCTTTTTGTCTCAGGCTGGTAAGACCCTGAGGAAACCAGCGAGAGACCCCAACCCTCTGAAAAACCAATCTCTTAAGACAGCAGCTGCCTCCTGAAAGCGGCAGGGATAAGCGCATGGTGTGACACATTGTTTGTTCTTCACACACCGCCCGTGAGGCTGCCTAGGCTTCAGCAGCTCCAGCCCCTCGTTCAGACAAGCATCCACGAAAGCCTGGAGCAGATGTCAAAATAGAAAGTCTCTTACACAGATCCAGTAGTAACAGGAACAGCTTTCAGCCTGGGTCACCAAGGGACAGCTGCAGTAGGATTTCTTTAGATTATTTTTTTCACCTTAAACCTGTTGCATACTTTTCTTCCCTAATCACTTCATCAAGCTTATCCTTGACTTCCTCCTACTCCTTTTTTCATTCCTAATCCCTGTCCTCCGATGGAGAAGACTGAGGAGCTATTTGTTTGGATACAGCGTCCCTTTTTCTTGCTTTGTCTGTCCCTTTGTTTTTGAGTTTTCTGAGGAAAAGACTGCAACTTCCTATGCACGTGGCACAGCGAGGCCTCTTGGTCACTAGATGTCACAGTAATAATTTTTCTATATTTTTACTATCTAATTTTAACTTCAGATTTTAGCTTGGGGATTAGAATATTTTTTAAGTGGTGTCCCAGTTAAATCAGTTTGCAGTACAGATTAGGCTCACGTCAGGGCTGAATTATTTCAGAAACATGTTCAAAAATCATGTTATAGTGCAAGTCTCTATCCTGTCTCAGCAGCTCCCCGGATCATATATAAACCCTGGCACTGCAGCTCAGTTCCTTATCTCAACTCTTTCTATGCAAACTCGTATCAACCACTCATGCCTTCTGCATGGCACTATTCCATTTGCTTTTTCTCTTTGAGATTTTGTGTAAGATTAGCTCTTCTCTCCAATAACCAGCTTGGTATCCAACATTAAATTCTATTCACTACATTTATATTTTTTCTTTTTAATCTCTCTTCTCTTCATCACTTTTGCTTAATCTACAGTCTAAAACCAGCCTGTATTATTTCTTATTCCCCAGCACTGTTGAGCCAAGGCATCTGTTCCAGCCTACAACAGTTAACAGAACTACAAGCCAGATTCTGGGTGATGATATATAACATAGATAAGACTCTGTATAATTCTGATTTAACTTTCATTTTTTAGACCAGCTAATCACAACACCCCCCCCCCAAAACCCACCTGAAAAAGCAAACAAAACCCCAGCTCTAATGCTTTATTTGTCAATGAAGCAGATTTGATTGGAAGTAACTGAGAAAAAGGGAGCTGCATTTATTGATTTTATATCCCTTTTTCAAAGTAAAAGCTTAGCTTAAATGTGCTTTGTGAGTTAATCTGAATGACGTTATCTCAAAATAAATCCACTGAATTCTACATAATTTTCCTAAATTCAGTGTTTGGTTTCTGCTGTTTTGCCTGTATGACCTCTGAAATTCTTTCTCCGACCTATCTTTTAAACATTTTCTTCTGTATCTCTTGTGTAGGAAAGCAAGGACGAAGATGCAGCAACAGGGGTATAGTATATTTGGGCATTTTTCTTGCATCTTTTGTTTGTGTGCATTTAATTTCTGCTCAGTCTCATCCCTTCCCTCAAAAGTTAGTCAATTCTTATTCATGAAACTAAATATACTAGTATTATGTTTTGCTAGAGATAATTATTGGTCATATCATAGTCTTATTGTTTGGAAACAAAGATAGGCCTTTAATCATTAAAAACAGTAAACGGAAGAGAAATTGTCTTTCACAGATTCTTTAATAAGGTTTGTCAAGGACTCCCAAGACAACTAGATCTTTGACAATTGCTAACTGACACCATGCTGATTACATTTTCAGTGTTGCGAGTGTGAAAGAGTCATTGTGACAATTTAAGCAGCTCTGCCTATAAAGGAAATATTTTCCTTGCCAGAATTTGTAAGACCCAGGTGCAAATCCTTATGTGCTTTTCTGCTTTGCCCAGCATTGCAAGTTTGTGCTTTGAATATTTCTTCAGTGTTCCCAGTAAAATTAATGATTACTTTAGGCTATTTTCCACTACAAACTTGTAATTAATAAGAGGACACATTCACATCTTCCCACTTCCAAACCGCAATACATGCCTATATACATGTGTCTGCATACACATGCCCACTGTCAGTTACGCATTGTGGATCTGGCGCCTGAAATGGAGCTCCTGGGCCCCTGGGTGAAGCGTAGGGGCTCCTGCTGAGGCTGGAAAGAGCTGTTAAGGCTGGTTAGTGCACCCTGGCACCACTAACTAATGCTGCAAGGAAGAAAAATACCCATTTTTTCTCTAAAAGGTAATTGACTTGAATTTTGAACTGAAGTTGTTGATGTCTGAAATGGGTTGCTTGTCTGTGGGCTTGCCTGGCCCTGTTTCAAAGAGGTGCTGATGAAAAGCACCTCTCCTGGCAGAAGATGCTGAAAGAGGCAATATTCCTTTGGCACAAGATCTTCTAATCCAGCTGACCTGTGCGGCCATTCGTATTACGTTTCTGGTTCTGCAGGGATGATCCCTTAGTGCAATGGTTTTCCCTGAAAAACAATGATTCAGACCAGGAATGTGATTACAAGAAGTCCATTCCCAAGCACATGTTTAAACAGGATTTTTCTACAGCGACTCAGATGTGACTCTCCTACAGGCAGTAGCTGTCTGAGAGGAAAACCTAAGGTCTGTGCTGCTCGTATACTACCTGCAGTCCTGACTGAAAACTAATCAAGTATTCTTTGATTGGTTGATTACGGCAGGAAGAAATTCCCATAATTTTTGTAGTCTCTGTAGTATATGAAGGTATGACATTTTGAGATAAAGCTTGTTTATTCACACAGATGAAGTGCCTTTCAACAGGAGTTTGCTGGAAGAGAAGGAGCAGAGAAGCCTGAAATGCCATTCTCAGTTGTTTTTCAGAGCAGGACTACACTTTAAAGCTTCATTTACTAGCTCTTAAAAGACAGTAAACACGGATTGTTGTCTATTGCCTAAATGATGGCTTTCAGATAACTGTTCATTTGGTTGACTGAAGCAAAGGGCGATTGCCTTTAAATTGTGCCATTTCTCCTATATAAAAGAGAGAAATAAGAACTTTTGAAACAGAAACAAGGCTGTATTATCTGACTCCAAATGTTTTTTACATTATTGAGGAGTCTAGTTCCTGTGCCATGAATCTTGACTTGTTCACTGCTCCAAGAAAGCATACAATTAAAAACACTAAACATTTTGTCATGTTTACATGTATTTCATATTCTCACTTTGATCTTCAACACCATTTACACCTTAACCATGTACCGTGTTCTAACCTCTCTAAGAAGAGAGTTCTTGTATTCCAGCACTTGCCTGTTGACTCCATAAAGCTAAAGCCCTGGCATGTTAAGATTAAAAGCTCTATACATTTCTTTTCTGTTCTATTTTTTAAGCTCAAATAATATTCCATTTACTAGAAACATAACAGTTGCAAAAGCAGAGCTCTGCATTTCAAGCCTGTTTATTTTTCCTTCAATTCCTACATGGTAACTGCAACTATTTTCTGTAAAAAAGGAAGAAGAAGAGAAGCAGGAAGAGGGAGAAGAAAAGGAAGAGGAGGAGGAGCAAGAAGAGTCTTAGTACACTTCCCTACGACACATTCTTTCTTGAACAGGTTTTCAGGTAACTATTAAGCTATCCAGCACAGTTTCTCACTGTTCTTAAAGTAACATAAACTTGAAAATTTTGTACATATTGTTATTATATGCAATTACAAGAATGGAAAGAATGAACCAAAACCAAAAAAGGTATTGCGCATTTAATACATAACAGTCAAAATTATTGCCCTTAACGAGTCTGTTAGTTTTGCCCATTTCTGTGGCACCAATTAATCTAGCTTTCCTACATAGCTGTCTCTGTGATCCCTAATATCCACCAAATACTGCGGGCCCTTCGATTCATTCCCCATCGCTCTTGCAACCTTCAACTCCCTGCCACGCTTCTAATATCTGCTTTGGGCATATTCCTTAGCATTTTCCTACGGTACCCGCCAGCTCTCTGCTGTGTTGCCTAAGTAAAAGCAAGGAAAGAGCGGCGTGCTAGGTGTGCACTGCTGGAGTGGTCAGTGTACGTGCATGAGGTGCCCAGCCGATGGGCCAAAAGTACACTGCACTGTTACACTCACTGCAGCTTCTTTTTCGTCTAGGATAAGAATTCATCCCTCTCCTCTCTTACTCAGCTGCTGACTTCACTGAAACTTTTCAGAGCTTCATGTCTCAAATTAAGCCCTCTCTCAATTTTAGTTGAAATGTTAAAAACAAAAAATACTGAGGAAGGGACAGGAGCCTGACCAGAAATACAACACACTGTAAAATTATTCTGATTGCCTTAGGAACTAGGCCAAACATGACTTTAAAACCTCAAAACAGGAAGCACCTTGGAGGCAGAATTTGTGCCTGTATAGTTGTATGAGCATCCAGCGTTGCTCAAGCTTTGCCACTATGTGGTTTTGAATTTAATTTTCAGATTTTCTTCTTCCTCCTACTGTCTCTCCTCCTCTGGACAGAAATAAAGATCAGACAATCACTTACCCAGGAAAAAATGGTAACCTCCAAGAAAGTTGGAATTTCCAGCAAATTTTCCCTTGGGTGGTGGGACCCCCTCCCAACTGCAGACATAGAGTGTGATACGCTCTTTCTAGAACTAGCGGGATTCCCAGATAACTTTGCCTCTGAGCAGCTGCCATAGGTTTCACCAACCGTATGCTGATGCGGAGACCCAGTGCCTCAACAGCACAGAAAATCTGTCACTTCCTTCATACTACCTCTCCCAAATCTGGGTTCCTCTGTTGCATGGGAATTCATTCATCCCAGTGTTTTCCAGCATTCAGACATGTAAGATCACAGTGTTTAGTTCTAATCTAATTTTTCTTACTTTTGTTCAGGAAGCACAAGCTGGAGCAGCCCTGCCAAAGAAAACAAAATCCCTCTCTCGAGCAAACCATTACTACCTTTCATGCCTGTAGACTTATGAACATATAAATACATAACAGAACAAAGACATCACTCTGTCCTACCTGTGCCCTTTATATATATATATATATATATTTGGTATTCCAATTGATTTTTAAAATGGGTCTTCTTACCTCTGATTGATGATATTTCAGTTCATATTGTTATGTGTTGGAACAGCATTGTCCATGTCACATTCTAGATTGTAAGCCCCTCAGGGCAGGAACCATGTCTTCCTCCACGTTTATATACCGCCGAGCACGCTGCTGCCACTCGGCAGGTAACGGCGCTCACACAAGTGACGTATTCAGAGAAAAAGAAATTCGGAACTGAACACTGCAAAGAGGCTTCCTGTATGCAAACTACACGAGCCACTTCTCCCTCGGCTGGCTTTTGAAAATGATTGAGGTTTCTATTGTACAGCAGTTTAAATAAATGGGTTTTCTGTCATATCTGTTCTCTGTCTGCAAAAGCATTAATTTAACCCTAGCAAGCTGCACTAAGATCTGTAAAGCTAAGTTTTCTGCCGCGTTACAGTCGTAGGCTATGCAAAGGCCTTTGCCCTGCCTTACGTTCCTGCTGGTGTTTCTGGTGTTGTGTAGAAGACCCCAACCACGAGGATACACAGTCTTCATGGAAAGAAAGAGATGTCCTAGTCCCTTCTACTGAAGCCTTGCCAGTCCTCATGAATATGTCCGTATTCACTGGGCTGGGGAGGCAGAGAAAAGTAACCCATGTTCACACTGTAACCATTAGTTAGAAGTTCACCGAGGAGGAAAGAGCTTGGATTTCAGTCCCTTGTCCAATTACTTTTAATGAGATTTATGGAAACTGCTTGTAGAGGAAGGAAAAGGATGAGAAATGCTTACTGCCAAAGTAGCCCATAGCTTCAAAGACAAACCAGTCTCCAAAGGAACCACAAGTTTATGTTTAACTCTGATCAAGAAGAGGCTGGCTCTCCAAGCTCAGATCTCCTACAATGTGAGTGCTTGAACCATGACTGAACAAATAAAGTGGACAAAACATTCGTGGAGGTTTCCTGAATGTCCTGAGTGGATACATTTTTTTTGTTCAGGATACATCTAAGGCTGCAGTTGTTGGGAGGGGATGGGTGGGGAAGCAGTGCTCTCTGTATGTGCCGTTCTTACGTTTGTCTGTGATGCTGAGCTCAGAGCTGGCAGGTCCAGCTGAGGGAAGGACCTTGGAGTCCTCACTCACAGCTCACCAAAATCATCAGCTCAACACGCAGCAGCGGCCAAGCCCCCCCGGGAAAATGCTGGGCACCGTCGGGAGGACGGCACGACTTTGCTGCCATATAAAGGCTTGCTGAGTTGACATCTGGAGCGCTTTGTGCAACCTGGTCTCTGCATCTCAGGGAAGACGTCGTGGCGTTAGAAGAGGTATGGAGAAAACAACAATTAGAGAGGATGGAACAGCGGCTCCGTGAGGAGACTGAAAAGACTCTTCAATTTGGAGAGGAAGCCAAGGCATTTGCAAAAATCATACAGGCAGTGAATAAGACTAATGCAGAGCTGTTAGTCAAAAAATCCTGCAATACTATAGCGAGAATTAGTATACACAGTTAGTATACATAATGAAATTAGTAGATCAGCTTAAAAGAGATAAAAGAGAGTACGTTTCCATATGGTGGGTCGTGAATTTCTGGAATTTGCTATCACAGGACGCTGTGGAGGCTGACAATGTCAGCAGGCCCGAGAATGTACTGGGCAATGTCAGGAACAGGAGGCTCATAAGCAGACACGACAGCCTGGGATGTGCCCACCAATATCACTAACCCAACAGCTCGTGGGTGCTGGGGACTGGGGGCAGAAGGAATCGAATACAGTGGCCTTGCAGTCCCTAAATAGCATTGCCCACTTCCACTTTCAAACAGTGAGTACCAGGCTAGGTGAGCCACTGGTCTGACCATTTCTTATGTTCCTGCAGGTGATTACTCTTCCTGGGGAAAATGTTCCCCATCTTGCCGGCCGCCAAGTTGGGGTGCCAGTCATCGCTGCAGCGGTTTTGAGCAAAAGGTGGGACTTTGGGAAGTACAGTAGTCAAAATGAAAGCAGAGCTGTTGATCACTCTGGAAATGCAGTAAATCCAACGCAGCGAGCGCACGTTGTGCAACAGCCGGTGTGTTTGTGGCAGCCTTGACGTATCCCCGGGCTGCCTGAGCTTCGCACGGTTGAGGAACCACGGGCTCCGCTTCTCCCCCCGCTGATGGGCAGAACAAAGAGCCTTAGAGCACCCGGTACATCGGGCAGGGCCACCGGCTTCGGGCTTGAAGCAGAAACACCACACCTCGCATTTTCAGGTACTGCTTGTTAAGGCAGAAATATGGCAACCATCTTCTCGAGAGGCTGCAATCTGGAAGCCTGTCAGGGAATGCGAGGAATGCTAAGCCTCCCGCGCAGAAGTGACGCGCTCCCCTGGTCTTCAGCTGGTGGCCGAGGTTGAGCTCAGTGGGCAGCGGGAGAGCGAGCCGGGCGGCAGACGATCCCGCTCACGGCGCGGCTCTCTGGCGCTTTCCGGGGGACAACGCTCTTCAGTGTGTGCGGATCGCCTTTTCTTCTGGACAAAAAGGAGGTTGTGAGTATGCGAAGGATAAGCTGAAGGCTGGGCTGCTGCTTGGTGATTTCAGCCGTAGCGCTAATTCTGCTTACAGAAGCTTAATACTTTCTGCAGAAATTCAGTGCGACTAGGAAAAGAATTAGGTCTCTTCTAACTACAGCTGAATGAAAATCAATAGCACAAATATGTGAGCTGTTGGCATAAACGCATTTGAAAACACGCTGTCTGCATTTTCATATAATTTGTATTTTACGGGGAGAAAGCAGCTGCAGTCGGTTAACGGGGCACACCCAGACCACAGCATTTCACCATGGATGCAAAAATCACCCCTGTGCACCACAGCTAAAGGCAAAACAGCACGCTGCTTTTCATGACACTTTGGTGTCTGAAGTATTTGCCTTGGAAGACTGGTGCTAGAAACTTCTAGTATACTGAAACAAGCTGAAATTAGCAAGGTTTCAAGCTATGCTTCCTACAGTTCTGTGTATGTTACAGGACGGTGGCTGGCTGCACTTTAAAATGATTGACTGTCAAGTTTAACAGACTGCTGAAGTGTAAAAGAAGCGACTACAGGTATCATTGCAAAGCAGCTAAGTAGATAGGGCTAGTCAATGGCTTGTTTCCTAGGAAAATAAATATTTGGAGCTTCATTCTGTTGCTAGTAGTAAGGGATTTTGAATAAGGGTCCAGAAGGCAACCTGGGCCATGCTGTCTCTTGCATGAGAGCACTTCTGAGTGAGAGGTTTTCCCCTAACTAAACTCTAAGGGAAAGTCATGGGAGAGAAATGAAACTTCAGTAATTTTGCCAGCACAGCACTAGCCCTCAGTCAGTGTTTCTGGTCACCTTTCTGGCCACCTCATCTATTCGCCTGCCTTCCAAATATTAAGACTTGCTAACAGTCTCCTCTCTACTGCGAGAATATCAATGTTAAAGCAGATAAGACTATTTATCTGCATCCTTTGGCAACTTCAGAAGGCTGGAAATACGCTTAACAAACAATCTGGGCAGCTGTAAGTCCAAGACAGTAATTTCTTCAGAAGGCAGATTAGAAG